AACTGGATAAACAGCCTCCGATTAATAAGAGTGAAAAAGCGCAAAGCTATTGGGGAGAGTTAAAAGGCAGATATTATAAAAATCGTGGGACCGAGTTTTAAACAGTTTCCTCTTTATGAGATTTTGATGTTTGATTGATTTCACAGTTGTCTATGATGAGTCATGTGGAAAAGATGACGGAATTTAGCCAGCCTAAGCTTCGGAACACAGGGCTGTTAATTAACAAACACAGAACGCGAATCACAAATAAAATTCCACGGCATTAAGTAACCCGTAAGTACTTAAATCTGTCCGAGAACTACTATGTGATGTGCAAAATGATTTATTATACTAGATTCCTGGTGTGGCAGCCAGCACTCCTATGAGAAAGAGGGCGACCCCTCCGCCCAATCTCAACCAATGGAAGAGCAAGGTCAGGAAATCTCTTTTTTCTTTAATTTTTTTTTTTATTGGAGTTCAATTTGCCAACATAGGAAACCTCTTTAATTAACAGGTGGCCACTGGTCTCAGATATTTATAAAATAACTCTACATAATTCGCTTTTAAAGTTTAAAATTCTCACCTCTCTTCTTCTAAGAATGTCCGTAGACTATATACACCTGGATTGTTTGCTTTCCTCGTATCAGGTAGCCCAAACCTACAAGGATTCTAAAAACTTGCCCTTATAATTCTAAAGAGTCGGGATGGAAAGTATCGAATATACTACCTGCCTGAAAACTCAAGCTTTCCCTGGGAAGGAACTCAGCCTGAAGAGCATTTTGTAGATTATGATTAATGATTAGCTAAATGTGCTTCTACTTTTCTGATCTCTAGCTGCTCAGTACTAAATAAAATGCACCACCACCGAAGAACATAAATAATTAAATATGTATTGGAGCTTTTAAAAAAAAATGCTTTTTAAGAATTAGAAGACAACACCTGTAAAGCAGAGAGAAATGAAATTCCAGAAAGTTTTTCACGAACCTAAGGCATGCCCTGTGCGGGCTACGGAAGGCTTTTTCAAGAAGCAACTGTCAATCCTATCGCCCAGGATGGCCCTAGAACAAGGCAAGCCAATGAAAAGGCTCCTACGAAAGATTTAGAAATGGTTTGACATTATGAGCCTGCCAAAAAACCTGGATACAGAGCAAGTAGTTTACCTTCAAGAGGATGAGAAATGGGAAACCAGATTCATTTATAAGGAGGGTCAGCCCTGAACTGGTATGTTGACATTCCCTGGATCTGTTCCAGGAATGGATGAGAAAATTTTGGCCAGCTTGCTCTTCTCTCCAATACTCGAGTAATTAATAAGTCTATTATCAATTGAATTTTTACGTGATAAAACTCTTGAGAGCAAGAACCACACAGATTCATGCAGTCTGTAAACTCTGTGTGACTTAGGCGCGCTCTGAAAGTCAGGATGGCGCCGAGAGAGTGAAAAGGTCACGAAAACGCAGGCCTGACCCAGGTCAAACCAGGCGGCCACCGTCTTGAGGTTCTGAAGACCTCACTGCCCCCCGCTTGCCGGCGTGCCTCTGTCAAGTCCACCTACGCCTGCCTTGAAAACGACGTTGTCCGCTGGAGTTACCTTAGCATTTCAGCCAGGCCTCCAGTTCCGCGGACTGAGAATGAACAATGCCTCTCGTTGCCACAAGTAATAAAAAGTATTTTAGGAAAAGACACCCCTTCAACTGAGACTAAGAGGTGAAATCAAGAGTTCTCACCACAGTTCTGTGAGAGGCAATCTCTTCTTGGTGAACAAAGTGCAAGTCTGTTGGGGGGGGGGGGCGGGATGGGTAAAGGGTCATCTGACCGACTACATGTCCAGAAAGTACCTTTTTCCACGGGAGGTACTACAGCTTCAAACCCAGGCCTTTTTAAGCTCCCGGCTCTCTTAAGAGGGCCACTAGGAATCCACACAGAACCCAGGCTTCTTCCAGCAGCCTAGAACCAGGGAAGATTTCTATTTCACTTCACCCACCCTACTTCTTGTTTTGTCTGCTGCCATTCGTGCCTATGCTTGTAAATTAGGCAAGAAAAGAAATCCAGGGGATCCCTGGGTGGCTCAGCGGTTTAGCGCCTGCCTGGAGTCCCAGGATCGAGTCCCACGTCAGGCTCCTGGCATGGAGCCTGTTTCTCCCTCTGCCTGTGTCTCTGCCTCTCTCTCTCTCTATCATGAATAAATAAATAAAATCTTTAAAAAAGAAAAAGAAAAGAAATCCAAAGGCGCACAGAACTGATTAGACCGCCTTCTTAACCCAAACCAGACAGAAAAATGACGAATCAATATTTAGTACTTTGGACACACTGGCCCCAAGAAGGTAAACAATAGCCATAAAACAGAAAAGAATCCTATTCGTCTTTATTTTTATCATCACCATTATCGCGTGGCTCTGCCTGATTACTGCTTTTCCTTAGGGTTTCCCAGATAGCCCAATCCCACAACCCAATGGAGTTGTTCTGTGCCCCAACCATGACCCAGCAGCCAATGCAAGGAAACAAGGTCCACGTTATCTTCGCAACTAACTCCCGCTTCCAAGGTGTGAGCTCCTACACGGGCTACGGGCTACGTGAAGGCCCTCTCGTTTCAGGAACCAACGTGAATATTTCAAGCACTTATTTTCAAGGGAAAAATAGCTTGTGGCGAACGATGCGATCTTCTTCCCTGTTTGTGGCACGCAGAATTCCCGTGCAACTCTGGGCTTTGGGGCGAAGTCCGTTTATTTTCATCACACCCGTAGTTCCCACCGACGGCAGCGGGAGGTGTGTGCGCGCGAAACACAAGTGGAAGCTGGAACGCGCGCCCGCCGCGCCCGCGCCCGCGCCCGCTCCGTCCCTGGCCTGGCCTTCCATCGGCCTAATCGGTGCGCTAACTTATTGTCACAAAATTGCTATTTTTCAGGCAATCGTTCTCCAGGCGCTGTTCACTTGCTGGGCCGGGACCCACTGGGAGCCACAGCCTGGGGCGCCTCCACTTAGGCCAGCGCGGCCTGCGCCTCTGCAGAGGGGCGCCCTGGCCCGGCGGGCCACCTGCGTCCAGGTAACGTCGGGCTCCCCAGCGCCCTCCACCTGCGGGGGGCGGCCCCCGCCCCGCCCCCTCCCGAGCCCGCGGGGCGCCCCGAGGTCACCCACGCGGGGCGCGAAAACTTTGCGGCCGCGCCCCCGGCTGCAGGCGCCCGCGCTCCAGGGAAGGGCCCCGGCTTTTGTTCCGACCTGGCCGGGCCGGCGGGGCACACGGGCCGCGGGGCTGCACCCGGAGCTCGGGGGACACTGCGCGGCCCCGAGGTGTGGAGCCTGGCGGAGAAGAGGAGGAGGAGGAGGAGGAGGAGGAAGAGGAGGACAGCGGGAGGAGCAGGGCCGCCTGTTTTGACGCAGCGCGCGCGGCCGGGGCGCACGGGCACAGGGCGGGGAGCGCGCGGGCACGATCCCGCCGCGGCCCCGGGGTCGCCGAGCGAAACCCCCGGGGGGCGGGAGCCGGGGAGGGAGGGGGCGCGGGGGCAGGGCCGGCCCCCCCGCCGGGGCGACGCGGGGTCCGTGCGCCGGGACCCCCCTCCCCGCCTCGCCGGCCTTCCTCCGCCGGAGCCCGCCCGTGCTTCGCGCTCGGGGCGGGATGGGGGGCGCGCGGGGCTGGGGGGCGGGGCCCGGGGCCCGGGGCGCAGCGCCTCCGCCCCCCCCAGCCCGGCGCCCCCGAGCCCCCGCCGCGCCGCCCGCGGACAAAGCGCCGCCCGCTCCCCCCACCCCTGCGGCCGCGCGCCCGGGAGGGCGGGGGGCGGAGGGAAGGTGCCGCCGGCGGGACCGCGAGGAGGCGAGGACGCTCGGAGCCCAAGATAAACAAATTGTTCCTCTTCACGTGCGGGGTGGGCGGGGTGGGGGCGGGCGAGCGCCGCGGCCTCCCCTCCTCCCGTCCCTCCTCCCGTCCCTCCGCCCCCGCCCCCGCCCCCGCCGCCTCCGCCGGCTCTTTGTCACCGAGCGCCCGGCGAACGCCGAGGACCCCGGGCCGGGCTGGCTGCGCGCCGCTGGGGGGCGGGGGGCGCGCGGGGGACGGAGCAGCGCTGCGCCCGGGCAGCCCGAGCCCGCGGTGGGGGAGGCCGCGCACTGCGCCCCCCGCCCCCCGCCCCCGAAGCCGGAGACGCGGCGAGCGGAGATAAGAGAAAGGATCGTCCCCCTCCCCCCTCCCCCCTCCCTCCCCGGGCTGCGAGGGGAACTGCCCCTTCCTCCCCGAGCGCCGAGGCCATTGGCTGCGCCTCCGCCGCGCACCCACCCACCCAGCCATTTAAGCCTCTTTCGGCGGCCGGCGGCCTTCCACTGCCCCGGGCGCGGGAGCCGGCCTGCGAGGGGGCGGGGGCGCGGGGGGCGCGGGGGGCGCGGGGCCGGCCGAGGCCGCTCCACCTGCCGGGCGCGCCCCGGACCCCCGCGCCCCCCGCGCGCCCCCGCCCCCGCCCCCGCCCCCGCGCGCGCGCGCGTCGCACCCACTGCAAAGTTCATTCACAAAACTCCCAGACTTTCCCAGCCCGCGGGGGGCGCGCGGGGCCTGCGCTCCCCCCGCCGCCCCGACCCGGCGCGGCGGCCCCGAGGGGTGGGCGAAGGGGGACGGGTCTGGGGAGGCGAGGCGCGGCGGCGGCGCGGGGTGGGGAGCGCCGGCGGGAGGGGAGGAGCGAGCTTCCAACTCCGGGTTCGCTCGCCCGCAAATCGGCGTCTAAGAAAGGGAAAGGGGGGTGGGGTGGGGTGGGGTGGGGTGGGGTGGGGTGGGGGGAAACTTTTCCTGCGCCTCGGCCGCCGCTGCTCCGGGCTCCCTCCGCCCCTCGCGGTCGTGACCGGCTCGCGCCTGTCGCCCCCTGGCCCCCGAGTCCGACAACCCCGACACACCGACCGGTAGCGGCGACCGCGGCTCCCCGCCCGGGAAAGTTGGGCGGCCCGCGCGGCCCCGTGCAGCCCCCCGCCGCCGCCCGGCGCGGAGCCCCGCGCCCAGCCCCGCGCCCAGCCCCGCGCCCAGCCCCGCGCCGCGCCCGGTGCGCCCTCACCATGATCAGCGTGTGGTTCCTCTGCTCCGCCGAGGCCGCCTCCGCATCCTGCTGGGGTTTGCTCTGGAGCGGCTGCTTGCCCGCGCCGGCGCCCGACTTCTTGGCCCTCTGCTCCAGGGTCCGCTGGTACAGGCTCACGGTGTCCCGGCGCTCCAGCTCCAGCTGCTCCACCTGAGCCTGCTGGTACCTGTTCTCGCAGTTGACGTGGTGCCGCCGGCAGCCCTCGATGCGCTGGCGGAGCCGCTCCACCACGGTGCTGTGCTTGGGCACGGCCGCCGAGCCGCCGCCGGGACCGCCGGGACCGCCGGGACCGCCGGGGCCCCCGGAGCCGCCGCCGGCCGCGGGGTGGTTGCTGCTCGGAGCGGCGGGAGAACTATTGGGAGGATTGTTCACCGCGATCCCGGCCCCGCCGAGGCCGCCGCTCAGGCTACTGTTGATGCAGATACTACTGCCATTCGCGGCAGCGGCGGGGGCTGCGAAATCCCCCATCCTGCTCCCCGGGCACACTATTTTGGAAGAACTTTTTTTTTTTTTTTTTTTTGAATCCACCCCCCTATCAGCCTCCTCCTTGGGTCCAAGAATTAAAATAGTTTAAGTGGAACGCGGGGGAGACGCAAGCACATGGATGGAAACAGCAATCCCGACGGGGAGGAAAAAAAAAAAAAAAAAGAGCGGGGATGGCGGGGGGGGGGAGAAAAGATTTGGGGGAGGTGGTTTTTTTGTTGTTGTTGTTGTTTCCTTTTTTTTTTTTTAACTGTAAAGCTCGAGGGGGGGGAAGAAAAAAAAAGAGGAGGGAGAGAAGGGGTGTTCTCAGAACACCACCAGACACCTATGGACAAAAAGAATCGCAACAAACTGAGCCGGCAGCAAGAATCGGGTTGCAACTCAAGGGGAGATCCGCTCGTCTCCTGCTTTCTTTCTAGGATCCATTATTCCCTAATAGGTTCCAGGAGGTTTCCGGTGGCTGGCAAGCCGCTTTCTCCCTACGTGCCGGCGAAACGCACCCCACGGACACGCACAAGCATATGCCTCCGGTGCGGACACGCGCGACGCGCACTCACTCCGCCCCGCCTCGGACCGCGGCACGCCCGCTTATTGCATTTTCCTTCCACAAAAAAGTTTTGGTGTTTGTGCCGCCCCGTGTTCTCAGAGTACTTTGGCTGCTCAGTTGCATTTCGCAGGAACCTAGATCCCGAGTCCTCGGGCTGGGGCGCGCACACACAGGGACGGCCCCGGGCGACCGCACGCGTCCATCGCCGAGCTCCCCTGCAAGCCGCCGCGCGGAGAGCAGCCCCTGACGCCCGGCCGGGCTGCCGCCGCCGCCGCCGCCGCCGCCGCCACCATCACAATGATCCACGGCTCGCCGCCGCCGCCGCCGCCGCCGCCGCCTCCTCCTCGCGCTCCTCCACCTCCTCCTCCTCCTCCATGCCAGCGGAGTGATATCAGGACGCGCGAGCTCAGTAAACACGGCAGCGGCGGCGGCGGCGGCGGCGGCGGCGGCGGCGGCGGCTGGAGGCCGGGAGACGAGCCCGGGGACGCGGCGCAAAACCCGGCCCGGACTCTCTCCGCGGCGGGAGCGGGCGCGCGGCGCACCGGGCAGGCCCCCGCCCTCCGCGCCCCGCCTCGCCCTCCCCGCCCCTCCACGCCCCCCGCCGGCCGCGCGGCTCCTCGGACGGGAAGCAGAGCTGCGGGAGCCCCGAGAGAGAGAGAGAGAGACAGAGAGAGAGAGAGAGAGAGAGATTCCGAGCAGGCGGGGGGATGGGGGGGGAGGATCAACTTTTGACCTGTGTGTGTGTGTGTGTGTGTGTGTGTGCACACGCGTGTGTGCGCGGATGGCCGCGTGAACGCGCCCGCCTGGGTTTCCTCGTTGCGAGCGAGGTACCCTGCAAAGCCCTGCAAAGCCCTGCAAAAGCCTGCAAAAGCCCGAGCTGCTGTTGGACCTCCTTCGTTCGTGCATCCTCCTCGCAGAACCGTGCACGGCCAGCGGCAGCAGCGGCAGCAGCGGGGCCTCGCAGCAGCTGCGTGTCGTCCCTACCCCGAGTGGCAAGACGAGGGCAGACACGAGCGACTGGAGTCGAAGGTAGTTAGAGTCCTTCGCCAGCCAGCCGGAGGGCTCCTGCGTATGGACACTTGTTCAACACGCCCCCCCCCGCCCAACACACACACACACACACACACACACACACACACACACACACACCACCCCTCCTCCCCGAGCCGGTCTGAACACACCAGTGCCCGATTCTGAACAAAAAGAAACAGGCCACCCCAGACAACTTGGGGGTTTGTGATGCGGTTCCCTGTTCATGATTGTTGTCATTGAGGCAATTATTGTTTTACTTAGCCCTGGAAAGGAAAAAAAAAAAATTTAAGATAAAGCAAGCAGGGACTTGGAGGTGAGACTTACAGTACATTTTAACAGACTGTTTTGAACGCTAGGTGCTAATGACAGCAGTAATTAAGGGTCCTTCGTAAATCAAGTGGAAAGATTGCAGATTTCATGGACTAGAACTATAGGAAAAACACAGCATTTCACAGTTTGTCATGACCAAAACAAAAACAAGCAAAAATAACAGGCTTACCTTATTGCTAGATATATTTCTTTCTGCGTAAATGAAAGCACAGTAAGTACAATTGAAATTGAATAACTACCATAGAAAGCAATCTCAACTTTCCTTTATCTTTCCGGTTACTGAATATTAAAAACAAAACAAAACTAAGGATCGAATATAATATCCTTGAACCTGGACTTACCTCATCGCATACACATAATTTAAAAAAAAAAAAAGAATTTAAATGGAGAAACAGCATTTCTGTGATCAAGGGTAGTACAAAATCTTGATTGTGGGCTATTAATGATAAGGCATTTTGTATTATCTCAATAAATCTTATAGAATTAGTTTTTAGGGTAAAAATACACCCCAGTTTTCTAAAATAGCCAGGAATAAAAGAACTTTGGATCTCATGCATTAGTCATGAGATCTGATTTAAACCATCTTCATTTCTTGGCATTGCAGATTAGCATAGGATGCTATTTCTAACCTCATAATGTCAGCAATAAGAAGCTATATTTTTCTTCAATTAATCAGGCCTGTATGGTAAACTATATCTTTAATATCCCTGGATTATATGGTAAAGCGGGCAGCAAATTATTGATTAATGTGCTGTGAGATTACCTTTAAGTAGTGAAACCAACGTGAGAGAGTCTCTTTCATTGACGCTGCCATACTATTTCAGAAGCCTACTTAGTTAACGTGCAACTTTCTGTGTCCTAACTGCCCCTCCTTGAAGTCTGTTACAGAATTTTACTGAATTAATTCTATAGCGAGAAATCAATTCAGATTCTAAAAACATAGAGAAAATTATAAGAAAAAGACATCACAAAGTAGCCTTTGTCTACTTCACATGTTAACTAAATAATATCTCTATTAATTCAGGAAACACATGGCTTCACTGCAGAGAGGAAGCTATGACTCTGCATTCACGCTAATCTCTCTTCACTATGCTTTAAGTCTTATTCCTTCTCCCTCCAAGCATATGCATCACCCATAAAAGACTATAGTTTGATTTACAGGGTCTTGAGTACTGGGTCTTCAGTTTTGAAACCTGAGTTCTAAAGCTAGCTCTTTCCTGTGGCTCAGAATTTAATTTTTTATTGAGAATTTGTCAATTCTGGAAAAAAAAAAAAAGAGGACAACATAGCAGCAAAATGCATTCCTGTCCGGCTCTTTACCTCTCCTATCATGAAGAGAAACCAAAAATACACAAGAATTTGCATCCTTCCCTTTGAGGGCCAACAGGTGGAGGAGCACATTTTGTGGCTTTACCCTAGAGTTCCCCAATGACAAATGGAGCTATTCTTGCACAACTACAGCATAGCTTGCTACTTTGGTGCATGAGTGGACCATACAAAAAAGAAAGGCCGACTCCTCATGGGTGTATGTTCACGTGCATGTGCACACACACACACACACACAGAGGCAGCCGCCTTTCATCTCATCAGGATGGTGGGAATGGCAGCCACAAGCACCAAGACCAAAAGGTAGGGACAGAAAGGACTGTCAAGTTGTGTACTGGGAAACGGGGAAAGAGTCTTTAAGAAAACTGACCTGTGCAGTGGAACTGTGACATATTTGAGGTCAGAAACCCCATCCTAATTGTGCTGGCTGATTAGAAGAAAGAAGCAGGAAGTGAACGAGACTTGCATCTTGAGCAACAGAGTCAAGTCATGCTGAATTAGAGATCTTAATCTGCTCCAGTGACCTTAGAAGAGACAGAAGCTTTCATACTGGCTACTTCTAGACTCTCGTGATATACTCCCACGAGGCTGCCAGCCTTGTTGGTCACCATCCCAAAGAACTCCATGAAAGTCCTAGAGAAGTCCAATCCTGGGGAAGCCATATTAGCTCCTTTTCCCTCCCATACTCTCCGATAGCAGGACCACCTTTATCTTGTCTTTCAGCCTGCTATGTAGAGAAACTTCCAGATGGGAGCTATGGACACATCATCAGTGCTGTTGGTCTAGAATAGCAAAGAAATCTGAGATGCCACAGCAGTAATGAGAAAGAAATTATGTGGCTGCCTCCCCAGACTTTGATGATATCTCTTCGAAGGCCAAAAAAAAAGAAAAAGAAAAAGAGCGTGATGAATAAGTACCTGTACCAGGTTGTCCTGAGGCTCTGGCTCTGAGCCAAAGTTGGCAGTTCCAAGGAGTTGAACCAGATTCCCTTTTCTTTAGGCCAACGATGCATCATCCTTCTGTGTCCATCTGATAGGACCCAGTGTTCCTGTGTCAAAAAAAGAGGTCATTGGGTAGAAACTCCAGCTTAGGTGCCACTTCTGCTTCCCTATTAATGTGGATCAATAGGACTCTTTATCACTACACCATAAGAGTACTCTGCTGCGCATCTAAAGGTAAGCAAACCTTTACATACATCCACGGAGTGGGCCCTGGTGGTCCTGAGTTACTAGCAGCAGTGAGCGTGCCATCAGCCGCCTAGCAAGAGCTATCATATTTCACAATTTCACCAATACAGCTTTGGCCTTGTGTGTGCCAAGAGCCTGTGTTAAGCGCTGTTAATACAGCACAGCACTCGAGAGCCCAACCCCAACCTCAGTGATGACCAACTAGACTCAGAGCAGTAGATGCAGTGATAGGACTAATATGAAGCGGGTATGGGAACACATCAAGGAGACTTCGAGTGCATACATGGGGCTCTAAAAAGGCTTCCCCAGAACTCACTCCAAACACCGGGCAGGAGTAAGCCGCGCAAAGGTTGGTGGGTGGGGTATGCAGTGAGGAGCTAGGAAACAGCTAGAGCAAGGCTGTTCCAGCAAATCCTCCAGTGCTTCCTTCACAGGAGCGTGGGGGTGGGAGGATGTGCTGAGAAGCGAGGCTGAGGCTGGGGAGGGCATCGGGATCCAGGTTGTGCAAGGCCATCCAGAAGTGTAGATGATATCCCTGCGACAATGCTCCCATTGAAAGGATTAAAGCTGATTCACGCTTTTTACTTCGGCAATGCAATAGATGTGTGTTCATACAGTATTTTCTGTGTTTCTGAAGAAACTGGTTCTATAAAATGTTTCACCAGAAAGGCTCCTGAGCCGAGTAAGTTTAGGAGATGGCACTGTCTCTGTCGAAGATTCATGACCACACTGAAGGCCGCAAGAAATCTTGC